CGGACTTCGGGACCAATGGGTCGATGTTTATTGTGTTTAAGTGAGGTGTTTTTTGTTCTCAGTATAATATCTAGTGAGTAATCACCAAGTGACGGTTTGAGAGCTTAGGCAGTGGTACCCTATTGGGTCGTATACGGAACTAGTAGACTACAGTAGTATTCTACTGAATCATACCAAACATCCTACAAAATATAGGATTTTTTTCGAAATCCTCAAACATGGGATTTTGAAATCCCACGGGGATAGTTGGGATTTCACGGGATTTCGTAGGCTTTGCATATAATAATGTTTAAAAATATGTTAAAAATGTTTATTTTCTAATAATCAATTAATAAAAAGGTAATTCAATCATTTTTATAATTTGTTATTACAGATTATTCATAAAGAATGAAATTCAATTTCATTCATTCCAAATACATCAAAATTTCCAAATCTTTCCAAATCCAAATTACTCGAATTCCAAATCCTTTTATGAAATTAAAATCCCTCAAAACCATTCCGTCAAACCAAACGCCCCTGAATTGGAAGCTGGATTTACCATCAAACGTAAGTATGTCACAAGGTAAATCTCCCAAATTGTCTGCCCATATGATGGGGTTTTCTTACTCTGCGTTCTAGAAACTCATTTTCGCAAGTAGGATTTCTTTTTGTGTGGGTTTTTGTGTACCTGTTCAACTCTCATTTAGGGCGGACCTATTTATGTTTGAGTGGGTTTTTGTGTACCTGTTCAACTTATTTTTCGCAAGTAGGATTTCTTTTTGAAGTATGAAATATGTACCAGCTAAACTTTGAGGGGTGCTCTATCAATCCAAAAAACTTAAAAAAGATCCCTTGAAACGGTGAAATTCAGCTAAAAACACATCAATCGACCTTTTACGGGCCTTTAATCCACTTCAAATGTACACTCGTTTGACAAAATTTATGGATCCGCTACTACTCTCACTTGACATAATTCTTTAAATGTGTTGATTAGTAACGACATACGCCATATCAAAAAATATACCATTGAAACTCGGTGTAAAAAGTAAAGCATAAAGACACCAATCATAATCTTCAGCTAAACATAAACGCAAATTTTATAATTTATTCAAAAATAATTTTTTAAATGATATTTAAATAATTTTTTATTTATCAAATAATAAGTTGTTAAAGCATAAATGAGTGCATTAATTTTAGTTCCTTTATAAATAACAATAATTACATTGATAAAAATATTTTTTTAAAGATTTTTATTCAAATAAATAAATAAGTTATTTACAGGTTTAAATTATTAAATTGTAGATTATATAAATATGTTCTTATTTAATTATTAAGTTTAAGTAAATAAATTATATTAAAATTTATATAAAAATGCACTTACTATATTTCTGTTAAACTATAAATGATTATATTACATATTTTAGGGGTTTGTTTGTTTATCTTTTAATAGTTCTATTAAGAGTCAATTTCTGAACCGTTAAGAGGTGAATCTTGTTTGGCAAAAAAATAGTCTGTATCATGGTTTTCCCTAACTATGTAGCGCCCTAATTTCATTGTAAATAATTAGCAAACAATTATATTTCATTTTGTACTATGTCATGACAATCTCTTAACCATTTTGACCACTTAATCATTCTGCATCAAACCATTCAGCAACTGTCAAACAACCCATAATTTATAAAGTGGTTATTCATATGGAATGATTTTTTAAAACTGGTTTTATAATTGTAATTGTACTAAAATTAAAAAATAATTGTAAAAATTGATATAAAAAGACAAAATGTTATAAATTTAATACAATTTAACTTTTTTTTCGGTTGATTTAATAAAATTTCAATATTTTATATTTTATACTATTTTGACCAATAACTTGTTGATATTGTAACACTGAATAAAATGAATACTTGTTTACAAAATGTTTAAAAAAATTATGACGAAATAGACAATAAACTTGTTTGTTTTTATAACTCTCATTTTGAGCGTTATTTACACATCATTTGTGTGATTTTTTTCTTCAGTTGTGTTCATGTTTCTTCCTTTTGTTTTTTTTTATTTTATTTTTGAACTGTTGTGGATGTCTTATGGTTATATGTATCATTTTTGGGTTAAATGTGGATTGTGAAATATATACATTGTGTGCCTACTGTGGGGAGCAACACTGATTTGAGGACAGAGCTGGAAATATCATTTTTTGCATGTAATTTTATGCTTACTTCAGCCATATTAGAACAATATTGAAGGACAAACTATTGATGCAAAGAAATATGAAGATAAAACATGGGTAAGGACAAACTGTTTATGCTTATTTACTTTAATTATTAGCTAAGCACCCATTGGGTGTGGGTGTGGATGTGAATCGAACTTAAGACTAGTAGATAACATTTAGGTGTTTTCATCATTGCTAATTCTTAAGCTTGATCACTTGAGTCGGGACTTAAACTCAACGTAGATAAACCGATCACTTCAAAATGTTGATATTAGATTTTTGATCTAGAGAAAGACAGATTTAAAGTACGGCTTAAATGATGTACAAAGATTTCAGATTTTTTTTTGATAATCACGTAGGGATACGGGGTTTGTATTATTTGCTAAGGTGAAAACTTTGGTCCAGCTTTACATCACAGGGATTTGTATAAATCTTCATACTAATCGAATTTGATATTTTTTTCAACTTAGACAAATTGCAAGATTAAGAATCAGTAATGGTGGGAACTTTATGGGCACAGTCTATAAAGATTCACTTTCGAGAGATCATATCTTTATAGATGTCTTTGTAACACAAAGTATTTGACTATTTTGTTACTACGTATATCTTAAGGAAAACTTACACCCATACCCAATTTTAGTTACTTGTTAATATATCGTTGTTAAAATCATCAAACCAACTCAAATATATTTTCTTATTCTCTAATTGAAATCATTGTATTCTCGCCTTACTACTCGAGACTTTGCAGTCCGATCTCTGTGGATGCGATATTGGTATTTTTACCACTTTATTACTTGAAAATGAATTCAATAGGGGTGCATACTTGTATCATTATTGTGCCACATTTATGTGTGTATATTCTCGTTACCACTTTTACACCATCATATATTACAAGACCCACATGTTATTGGTCAAAATAAATAAGAAATTTTAAATATTTGTAATGTTAAATAATTTTTTTAGAACTTTGTGATATATAAAATATTTGAAAATTAAATAAATACAAGTGTATTAAGTTATTTTCTTTTTTCAAAAGATGTCAAAGATTATACTCTTATTTCACTTTTAGTTGATATAAGATACTGTTATATGAAACTAAGGTGACGTTTGTTTTTTAAGAGGTGCTAAATTATGAAATCTTATTTCACTTCTGATTGATAAGAAGTAGTGCTGAAGTTTGAAATCTGAATTATTAAAGACAGTTTGTTTTTTCAAACTGATAAATGTCTGAATTTTTTTAAATTACCTATTTTACCCATTATAAAATTACAGTGTTGAATTTATAGACAGATTTATACAATTTAACATATTTGTTTGTCATGATTACGAAATTTACATCTAAATTATATAATCAAGATTCATTTAAACAAAAATATGTCATTAACGTATAACCTATTTAAGTAAAATACATAAATTGAGTGAGGTGAGAATCGATTTAATAAGGATCAAATGAGAGAAATGATCAATTAAAATTATTAGTTTGATAAATGTTGTTTATAAGAGTTTGGAGAACAATAAAAGACAAACAAGAGATTGGTATTGAAAAATACAAATAGTTTAAATAATCCTACCTCTTAATGAATTAGACATAAAAAAAACTGATAAATTAAAAAAAAGAAAAGAAATAATGGGGTGTTTGGGATTGCTTATTTGAAACAACTTATGCTTTTCTATAAAAACACTTATCAACTTATTATAAGTCAGAAGAATTTAACTTATTTAAAAACTCTTTATTACCGGTTTGACACCGGTATAAATTATTTATCTAAACTCTCAAAACTATTTATTATCAATACCACATTAAAATAAGTCAATAAATTATTTTTATAAAACAATCCCAAATACCCCTAAGTCAGTAAAACAATAACAAATGTTGTGAAAGTCAGAAATAATTAGACCATCCACACACATCTTTCAAAGCAATTGCAAAAAAGCAATTTGATGCCACATAGGATTTCACTTGCTATTTTTGCAATTGTGTTTGCAAGCCACGTGGACATCCATTAACATTGAATAACATTGAAATATAATATGTAGAACAATTAATTTTATAAATTAATAATGTTAATGTATTTTTAATTACATTAATTATATAATAAATTAAATTATTTTATATGTAATATTTTTAATTCAATAAATGTTGTGTTTTGATATGATTTAATAAATTAATGTTTCAAATTTAAAACAATAAATTATATAATTATATCATATATTAGTCGTTTTAATTAACATTTAATTAAAATAAAACATGTTATTAATTAAAATATGTANGTTTCAAATTTATAACAATAAATTATTATATTATTATATTATATCATATATTAATCATTTTAATTAACATTGAATTAAAATAAAACATGTTATTAATTAAAATATGTAATATTAGAATGTATATATAAATAATTTATAAAATAGTTAATAAATGTTGTAGTAGGGACCACTTTTGAAAGTGTAGGTGACGTGGCACAATTGAAAGTGTTGTAGGTGAATTGCAGATGTGTGAAAGATAATTACAAAAACTAATATGACACAATTAAAAATATAAATGAATTGCAGAGATGTGAATGGTCTTGTACCCATTTATTTGTGAAAATTGGCATGGAAGTGGTCTTGCTCGGGTGCTGGATACAGTGCGGTCGTGTCCACAGTCCATCCATCAAATAGATCCACCCACGCAATTTAAAACCTTTGTAGACCGTCCGATCAATGGACATCAAGAGATGAACGGCTACGAGTCAATCACCAAAGCTAGGGCTCAAACTCGAAGGGTGATCTGATACTGAGGGACATCTTCCTTCCCAAAACTCCTCTTATAAATCCACCCTCCCTCCCTTTTCTCCATCTTCTTGCCCAATTTGAAGCCCTTACTGTGTGTTTTTTAAGTGTCTGTACACACAGTACATGCAGGAGAATGGCGAAGCCTCGTAAGCAAAAGAATGAAGAACAGAAAGCTGATAATTCGGAAGCTGTGGTAAAACATCAGAAGCTATGTCTCTCAATCGATCTCGAGAAGCGGCGAATTTACGGGTTAGTATGTGTTTAAGTATATATGTTTTGCGCCTTAGTTATCTTGAATTGTTAGGTCACTCGGATTTGAGTCGAAGTGCTGAATTATCGTAGTACGAGTTGACAATTGCCAACTTCTTTGCTTTCTTTTGTTTTTCTATTGCAATGTAAGTTACCCTTGAATGCTCGCTGAACTTTGAATGAAAAAGATATGTTTGAGGATGGTTCCCATGAAAATTCTAAATACCCTGAGATTAGGGCTAGGTTGCTCAAGGAACATGGTGTTACTGCTCATTGCTCTTTATTGTTACTGCGCAATTTGTGCATGCCGTCAGTCAAGAGTAAATTTTTTACGGAAGTGGCCTTTGGCCTAAAGATATTAGAGGATCTCTACAATCCTTGTGGGTTCTTAGAGATATAGTAGTTTGTTAACCGCTTAAGAAAAAGCTAGAAGTTTAGTTACCCATAAAGTATCAGATTGTTTCTTGATCAGCAATCAGATGTACAATGCTTGAAAGAAGAATAACTGCTCTGAACACTACGATGTGTGGCAGAACTTGGTGTTAGAATGCTGGTATTGTTGTATTTGAGCTGGCTGATTATAAGTATATGCTAATTTCAAATTGTAAATAAAGGATTTCCTTTTTTTTTCTTCGTGATCATGGCATCTTGATTATCGTGCAATCTTTGAAATATGAAGGTACAACCATTAGCATATATTTTTAGTGAGAGCAGAGCTTGTTGCTGACGATGTGTAATGCTGTATTTGTGTTAGGTTATGACTCTGGTGCTTGCTTTGAATTTGTGTTAGGTTATGACTCTGGTGCTTACTTTGAATTTCCATAAAGAATCCCTTTTCTTTTGTAAATCTGGTGTACTGATTGTGAATAAAATGTACTATGTATGAGATAATAAGTTATGGCCCATAAAATATTTGTTGGTGGGAGCAAAAGTTGTTCCTAGATGTGTAATGCTGAAAGTAATTTCTGATTCTTGTGTTTGTGTTTGCTTAGTTATACCGAGCTTGAAGTTGTTGTTCCAGAGAATGGTATTGTGGGGTTACATGCTGATAATTTGATGATTGAGAGTGTAATGGTGGACGGAGGGCCGGCGAGGTTTGAAATATTCCCTCACTACCAGCAAATGGACAGTGATGACAGATGGTGTTCCGTTTCTTCAGCTAATTCTGCTGCCGATGCTGCGGGTTCAGTTTATGTTTCATGTCTTGAAAGAGAATTGGTGCCTAATTTATTAATTATGTGCTCTAGTGAAGTTGTCAAACCAGTACCCAAGCAGCCAGAACAGACAGGGCAAGAGAATGGGACACAAATATCCAGCGAATCCAAGCAGGTTACTGTAGTTACTGAAAGTACTTATGTTATGCAGAATGGGTTGCAAGCGAACTGTTTAAATGATGCTTGAGTTCTGTTTCCTAGAAAGTAACCTTGGGTTTTGTTTTTGTTTTCGCTTTTGCAGGTTTCTATAAATATGTAATTGGGCCTTTTATGTTACCACTGTTTCTTACATCTTCGTAATAAACAATATTTATACCTTAATGAACTGTGGTGATGTAACTTTATTTACTTGAAGTTCCGGTTTTCAAATATCCAATTTCTAGTAACAGCTAAAGCAGAAAGGCAGAAGAGTCTGAGAATTGCATACATGTGTATATAAAAAGACACATGCAAACACACACACACACACCATTATTATCTTTTTTTTTTTCTTAAATTGTCAATACCAGCTACATCAGAAAAACGAGTTTGATATTTTTACATCAACATTGATAGATTTATCATATATGATTTAAGGTTTCCTAAGACCTCAGAAAAAAAGTTGGTACAGGATGTAAATCTGGCACATACTGTTTCTTGACAATTTTCATCCTAGATTTTATTGCTGTCTTCCCACTTTAATCTTTTCTCATGTAGGTTATGTTGGGTGCAGAATGTAAAACTGATCCATATTGACTTCTGGGTGGAGAAGATAGAAACAGGAATACATATTGAAAAAGATGTTATGCACACCAATAACCAGATTAGACGTGCCCGCTGTTGGTTCCCTTGTATGGATGATAGTTCACAACGTTGCTGGTAAGAATAAATGTTATTTGACTTAATTTGTTTCTATATTGTTCTATTAAATTTATTTTGATGTGTAATAACACTTCAGCTTTGACTTGGAGTTCACGGTGGCCAACAATCTTGTTGCCGCTAGCACTGGAACCCTGATGTATCAGGTGAGAAATAAGCAGTTAACTGTGCTTCATTGCAAGATCTAACAAATGGCAACAAGATAGTTTTTTCTGTGACATGTTCATGTGGCATACTTCATTGAGTTTTAAATAAATAAACATCTTTCTAGATTCTTGTAACTGAAGGGAGTTCTTATGGCTTCATCATGTGGCTGGATGTAATTAACATGGACCGTAGTTGACCGATAATGGTGTTACCACATGTCCGTGAATTTCATTTTGGGGCACATGTTAAAATTTAAATAGAACTTATCACCTCTTCTATATGCGTATATGTTTTTGAGTTCTCATTTCCAAATTGCATGTGATGTTTGATTTGTCAACTATTGCCTAAAGTTGAGACTTTCTTGGTCCCTACCATATCAATTTAAGAAAAAGTGGGGCCTTGGGGGTACAAGTTGCATACGGTAGCCTGCCATTAACCAAACCAAATGTACCTAGTATATCCCACTCGGAAGTCGAGTTTAGGGAGGGTAGGATGTACGCAAACTTTTCCTCTATCCCTAGGTGAAGGCCCTTGCTTTGTGACTATGTTTTGCAAAAGATTTTTGAAGTTTTTGTTTGTAAAGCTTTGAAGATTTTTAAGAGCCCAGCTGGTGCTTTTTTATCTATTGAGCAAAGAGTCCCTTCTCAAGTAATCCTAGGGCACATCTATCCTACCTGTCAACTCTCTAGCCCACTTCCTCTCACTACCTACCTTCGTCCTCATTTGAAGAAGCTACTAGTCCCTAAAAATAAACCGGTATTGGAAGTCTTATATTAGTTTCTCCATCATGAAGAAGTGAAGTAGGTTCATGTCCTCGATGACAGTTATTCACGGATTTATTCCATCTGTTCAGTATTTGTGAATTGATACTTCTGTAGGGAGGCTAGTATTAGGACACGAGAGAAGGAAGTCTTAGCGCTCATTTTTTGGACAATCGACTATAAATCTATATAAGTTCTTAAAAGCATCCCTAATCCTTAGTAATTTAAGTTTTGTTAACAACAGTGGAGCTAGAAATGTATTGTACAAACCTTCATAAGTATAAATATATCTGCGTTCTGCCAAGAAGTGTTTAATATAGACATACTAAATAACATACAGAATGTGACTACTCCCTCCTTCACCCTCAAAGAAAAGAAAGAAAGAAAAGAAAGAAAGAAAAGAAAGAAAGAAAAGACAAAAAGGTATCGGTGACTCTGCGTATGGTGAAGCTGTCCCTGTTCCTTGAACCAACCTAGGAAGCATGTGAACAGGTGCATGTTTTTGATGCTCTACATATAGGGTGCTTGGGTTTGGCATTTTAAAAGATACCAAAATTTCAGCATGGCATATACATATTATGTGAACAAAATGGAAAAATAATCTAATAAAGGAAAACATTGAAGTATGTAAACTATACCAAAATAATACATCAACATATATAGTGTGATTTACTATAACAAACAGGAAGTTGTAGATACAAAGACTAGTCATCGTAAATCGATTATTAAAAAGGGCATAGCACATAGGCATAAAGAAAAACTAGTCATCATCATGACCAAATTAGTATAATGTCATCAATCATCATCACTACCCCCACCTATGTGAAAATATGGCTTCTGATATTGGTTCATCATATAAAAAGTCAAAGAAATAGAACGTAGGCATATTGGTAACCATTGGGTGGACGTCACATAAAGAAACCAATGCATACCAATTAGGTAGTGTCACGTTCACAGGTCATTACTTGAAGCACATGATTCATGCTATCAAGTGATTCCAACCACAATAAAATCTGAGAAACTACAATTGTGATTTTTACTCCCATTTCCATGAGCTTCTTTCTTTGGATGAAGATATTATCTCAATGATGCATTGTGATGTTTTATTCACTATAATCCTTTCCAGTGGACTGTGGACACCATTTTCTTCTTAAGCATCGTCAATCTTCATGAAGCTCCATTCTGTCTGCTATGCAACTACTGGATTGGCTCTCCTTATGCAAATTTTGTGCTTGTTTTTTTCTTTATGCAGGTTTTGAGCAATGATGATCCTCCACGTAAAACATACGTCTATAGAATAAGCGTACCCGTTGCAGCTCAATGGATATCTCTTGCTGTTGCTCCATTCGAAATCTTTCCTGATCGCCATAATAATCTTATAACACACATTTGTTTGCTAGCTAACTCATCAAAGCTTCAGAACACAGTGGGATTTCTCCATAGTGCGTACAGGTTAGCTTTTTGTTTCATGGCATTTTAAAATTTGCAATGTACACTCAGATTTTATTTTCTTCTTTTTCCGCTTCTCTTTTTGTGATTTCCTGTTTACTTCTGGAACAGCCATTATGAACATTACCTTTCCACCAAATTTCCATTTGGGTCATACACACAAGTTTTTATTGATCCAGAAATGGCAGTATCTTCGTTGAGCTTGGGTGCATCAATGAGTATCTTTAGTTCACAAATTCTTTTTGACGAGAAGATTATTGATCAGGTATGTTTTTAATGGTTGAACTAATAATCTAATCTATGCTTAAGTGACTTATGTTTTTCTTAGGTTTTCATTTATTATTATCTCATGCATTTTGATAGAGTATCCCTTTCCACGAGGTTAAACTTTGTGTGGAAATTTAAATGTATGTATGCTACTTCTGTCCGTGGAGATGTCTGCATCTTTCCTTGTGTGGACATTCTGACAAATTTGTGAACACGGAACATTGTGTGTGCTACTTCAAATTCACCATCTCCTTGAATACTGATGTGTATATATTATCATTCATCATATCTTCTGGCTACTTTGTGCTTTTCATAGTCATTCTTTGTGGGACAGATTCTTTAAAGGGGGAACCGTTTGGGGGGTGGGAATATAAAACCACACATGAAGAGACCACCAAGAGGATGTCAGTTACTGGATTCCGTGGGCAGAAGGTTTTCCAAGGGACCCTTGCTCCACTTCACTTCTTAAGACACCCTGTGGGATGAGTAGTTAAATATGAGTTCTACTTTTGAGTAATGCTATTTATCAAGGGTCCATTCAGGCAAGGGAATCCCATGCCTCATTAGGTACATTACCCCATTGTCACCTGCACTAGTGGCGATACTTGGATGTTGTGGGAAATTATTGTGGCAACTTGAACTCTCTATATCCTGTTCTTTTTTTCTTAGGCTGATTCCCTAGTGGACAAGAGTAACCATATATCAGAAAGAGAACACAATAGGAAGTCCTATAACAATTGTTAAAAAACAACTTATACAAAAGCTTAACTGTTGGTTCATAAGCAACATCTATATTGAGCTTCAAGTATAGTGTTATTTCTAGCTCATGTTGCGAGCATCACATAGGGGTACATCATTTGAGGAAAGAGAAAAGTGCACCCCACCTCTATGCTATGAGTACAATCCTGCAAGTACCATGATTGTCAAAGTCCAAAGCCCAAACATCTAAACAACAATGACAAAGTCTTTCATCCCAAACATGTCTTCTGGTGCCAACATTATGCCTCATTGATTGTAGGCTTGTAGCATGTCTTATCTCGGTCTCACAAAAGTTACTGTCTTGCCTTGTCTCAATTTTGACGTATTGTAATCCTATCATTATGGAAACAGTATATAGAGAGACTAGAAACTAAACTGAAGTCCTTTATTGCTGAAAGTGTAAAACTGATTACGAGTTCTCATTATCTAGAGTGAGGGAGACCTCATGCTTATTCATCTCTAAACTAATAGCTAACAGCAACTGTAACTAATTAGCTAGAAATAGAAATTACAAGTTCCCCCCTTGTACAGAAATTCTACACTGTTGGACGTGTGTACAAGCAGATGGCTAGGACTTGAGCCACTCAAATTAACACCTATAGTAATATGCAAAACATCTTTCCTTGTTGCATGCTTGTTCTTATGCTCTCTCGCATATTTCTAATAACAATTACATGCATTATTATGGTTTTCTTCTTCTCTAAGTGCTCACTTACTTCACTTCCCTTGACGCCTTATTACATGCCTCGTCTTGAATAATAAACACCATATTGGTCAATTCCCTATGAAGAATCTTCTCTGTCTTTTATCACCATATGCGGGGCTTTTGTCTATTCACTATGTTGATAGGGTTGCGGGTCAGTTCAAATGCTCTAATTAGTCCAAGTGTTATTTTTTGATTTAATTCAAGTTTATGTTGATTTTCTTTAATCATTGACGGAGCAGACGATAGATACAAGAATAAAACTTGCATATGGTCTTGCAAGGCAATGGTTTGGAGTGTATATCACTGCAGAGGCTGCAAATGATGGTAACCTACTATTCCTATGGCTCTCTAGAGTTAAATAAAGTAATGCAATACTGATCTAGCTTCCAATTTTTGTTGTCAGAGTGGTTATTGGACGGACTTGCTTGGTTCTTGACAGACTCGTTCATTAAGCAGTTTCTGGGAAACAATGAAGCACGCTATAGGCGTTACAAGGTATTGTTTCTTCTGTTTTGACATTCAGATGGTTAATGTCTCTTTTATCTGCTTGATGATTGTACATTGAAGCACACTGTCATAGAAGTATATTGCTGCTAGAAATTAAACTAAAGTTGAATATTGTATGTTTAGAATTGCCATGCTTCCATATTAAAAACTTCCCTGAAGTTGTTTTACCAACCGTGCTAGCAATTCTGCTTGGTGCTTACGTAATTAGGAGTACACAAGTTAGTTGAGTGTTGCAAAGCTCGTCTATATATACGTATGTTATATGATATTTCTTTCATTTCAGGCCTGTAATAGTGTTCCAAAAACCTTTAAGCATAGCTAGGCAATCAAGTAACCTTCTACTGTTCAATTATCTGAGTGGGGATTAATCGATGGATGATTATGCTGAAGCATAAATGGTTCATTTATATATGCAGGGTGATTTTTTTGGAATATGTAAGAACATGAGTTTGAAAATATGATACTTTATTAATCTGATATGTTTACCTTTTTAAATGTATAGTGTCATTGCATCATTGATGCAATTACTCTAAGAAGGATTCTGGAGATCCCCTTCAAGTAAGCTTAATTTAACCATTAGTTGGTAATCTAAGTGGCAAGGGACACATAACTCCTCGGCAGCCATTCATGCAACCATAACTAATCAAGGCGGTGGGGTCCACTTAATGCCTAGGGAGCCGCTTAAGTGATCCTAGGCGAGGCTTTTTAGAACACTATATGGTATTTAGAGGTCTACAATCATGTAGGATCTGATATTAGCTCTCTATTTTCATGAATTTCAATTTGTAGTTGAAACAAGTTAAAATGTTTTTCTATTTTTTAATCATTGACCATAGATTGGAGGTTTTGCTTCAAGGAAAGCAAGTCATGGAAAAATTGTTCCATAATCTACAAATATCACCAGAAATGGGAGGTGCTTCTTCAAGAAAACATACCAGGAATGAGATGTTTTTTTTTTCACGGTTTCCATTTTTCGTGATTATGAACAAAGTTTGAAGTCTTTGCCCCATGAAATTTACGTCCTAGAAGAGTTGTCTCATGCTCTATGGGGGATGTCCTCAAAATATAAATTGGAATAATTGTCCCCATGTCTTCCTTTTGTGCTGGGTGGAATCAATTTTGAGTTAATGCAGGGATGTAGGCCCTAGGATTTCACATTCAAGTGTGAAGCTAAGTTGCTAACTAGTTAGTGACTCATAAAAGACATTACTATTTTCTTGTGAAGTGCTTTAAACCCTAAGTAGGGGTTGTGGGCTTTGAGATATTTGGGAAGTGTGAAGCCAAGCTATCTGCTAGGTCAGTACTGATGAAAAAAATACCTAATTTTGAGCCATTTTCCCATAGGTTCCTTGAATCTACTTTTTGCGTTGCCAGGTTCATATACAGTGGCATGGATTTCGAGTTATTTGGAAATAAAGACATGTAACTATAAAAATCCTGCTCCAATTCTGATTAGTGATTAGCGGTTATTAAAAACTTAGTAGGATGCTAACTTCTTTCATACCAGTAAAATATATGTTAGTTGATGCTTGTCATTCGTTTGCTGAACATACGCTCTCCCTTGATACTTTTGTACAATATATGGGGATCTTTTAGTTACATTTTTTCTAGCATTCTTTCTATCTGTTATAATGCTTATCTATCCTTGAAGTGATTTATCACTAAGGGTTGTTTGGTATGTGGGATAGGATAAGACAGGACTAGACAAAAACTAATTGTACCACTTTTGGCGTGACATGTGGCTGAGATAGGAATGAGTGGGACAAAAATTCAATTTCTATGACCAAATGATGAAACTTTCTTCCTATGATATATATATATATACATACATATATATATATATATATGAATGTTTATAAATTATAAATATAATATAAAAATCATGTATATATATTTCATAAATATACTATGAATATTGGATGTTTATAAATATAATATAAAAATAATATATCGAGTACTTATAGCTAAACTTTTCTAAATATTTAGGTGATTTGTGGCATCAGGCATTTGTAAATGTGACGTAAAATCTGGTCAGTTTTATATTTTTTCGGATAGTCTAGCTTACCTAGCTTTTGACAGACAACTTGGCCGATGCTGTCTTAGTCATACCAAAGACCTAATAGACAACTAATTCAGTCCAATTCAGTCCAGTCCAGTCCAATACCTTATACGTACCAAACGCATCTTAAGGCTGCTAGGAGGACCTATTTGGAAGTATATGATTCAAGTAGGAGTCTAACCAAACAAGCAAAGTTTCTCCCTGTGAGTTTGATGGTTCTCCCACAAACTGATCGACATGTTTTTTATGGCCCAACTTTCCTCTTCATAAAATCATTATTCACTTGCAACAAATTGAGTTTCCAAAGTTCTTGTGTACCAGCATTGTGACCATTGACACTGAACCACCTATACTTGAATCATATTTCACCGAGTTCTTTCATTACAGTCGATATCCAGGATTCTAGCCTCTACCATACTATTCACCTATTGATTCACGTGCAAAAGCATCTTTGTAGAGGATTATGAACCCATGCAGACGTTCGAGTCTATCATGTATCATCAAAGTCCAGAATTAGCCATAGTGGTTTACTGGGGCTTTGACCCTGAGATCTAGAGCTTAAAATTAAACCTCCATATTCCTTTCCTTTGCGTATTTAGCCTCCTGTTAGACACCATAAAATAATCAATTTTTTCATCACATTAATGATTTAAGAATGTGTAGATCCCAGATCAAGTCATTAACATACAAACAATCAAGAACACAAGAATATGATTTGAATCAGTTGGTTGTCTATTGATGTCAATTCTCTCAATTACAGTGTGTGTGTTCTTTCTCTCTCTAAGCTCAATACGATGTCTAACAGGATTAACCAAACTAACTAACAAAGCAACCTATTTATACTCTAGATGCTAGGTGTGGCTTTAATTGAAATAGTTAGTTTTGTTTTTCTGCTTGCGTGTCTTGACTATTACCTATAAATAGGTTGGGTTATCCTCATTTGTAAAGATAATCCCAATTTCTCAGTTCTTCCAAAATTCTCTCTACATCGTTTTCTCCAATTTCTTGACAAACTCGCATTGAAGCGTTAGGGTTCCTTCCAATCGCTAATGACTAAACTCCTCAGTCGCTTTTTCTGGATCGTTTTCACTAATCATTTTTTTGTGGGCAATCGATTGAGTCAACTTGGAGTCCGATTCAAGGTGGAGCTTCTCGATTCTGAAATCAATGGTGTAAGTTGACGGATTCAGCAGTTAATTTGAGAAAAATGGCAACAATAGTCAAATCTCTAGAATTCATCAGTCGAAATTGATTCTTTCTACAATCAATTTCGTTGTTGAGTGTTCCATTGGAGGTATCGACTTGTGTCCAACAATCAAACTTGATGTTTTGATTTCTTGAATGGTCGTTTTTGGGGATCAATTTTTGGATTACTGATTTTGGATAGCCAATTTAGAAATTGCCGACTCAATTGAAGATTAGTCTGGATATTTGTTCTTGATTTCTCAGTACTGAATCTTGGACCATAGTTCTTTTCAAGATTTCAGAAAATGCCCCCACATATGATCAAGATAGACAAGTTTACAGGAAAGAACAACTTCAGCTTATGGAGAATTTAGATGATAGCTCTCCTAAAACAACGAGGCATCTGGATTCCTTTGGCTGGTGAAAGGCCCACAGATATGGCTGAATTTGAGTTTGCACAACAAGATGAGAAGGCTCACTCTACCATCTTGTTGTCTTTGGCAGATGAGGTGATTTATGAAGTTGCCGATGAGGAGACTGCTTCGTCTTTATGGCTGAAACTAGAGACTCTACATGACCATTTCCTTAACAAACAAGTTGTTAAAGCAAAGGTTATTCTCATAACGAATGAAGGTGGGAATGCCTTTGAAGGAACATCTTGACGAGTTAAACTCCATTCTTATGGATTTGAAGAATGTTGAAGTCCATATTGAGGATGAGGATGAGGATGAGGATGCGGATGCCGTCCTCATCTTATTGGTTTCGTTGCCCACTTCATATGAAAATTTTGTCAACTCGTTCATTGTTGGTAGAGACACAATTACTATGGAAGAAGTTCGTTCAAGTTTGCACTCACGAGAGTTGCACCATAAAGCTTCAGGAAGTAGTTTCGAAAGCTAATCGGTAGGCTTGTCGGTGGTAAATGGAGATAGAGACATAGGTAGAGATAAAGGCCGAGAGAAAGGAAAAGGGAAGTGGAAAAGTAGAGGCCGATCAAGATCGAAGACTAGAGGTCCAAGTGGAAACCCAAGGGATGGCTGCCACAATTGTAAAGAACCGGGTCATTGGAAAAATGAGTGTCCAAAACTAAAGACAAAAGGATCCGCTGCTGTAGCAAAAGATGATTCGGGTTCGGAGGCTGATTTGGTGCTCTGGTGGTTGATTGCAAAAGTCAGTCAGAGGTATGGATTCTTGATTCCGCATGTTATTTCACATGACACCATATAAGGATTGGCTCAACACTTATGATAAGATTGCACCGGAAGTGTCTTGATGGGAAATGACATGTCGTGCAATGTTGTTGGAATCGGATCGATGAGCATTAAATTGCATAATGGGACATTGAGAACTCTAACAGATGTTCGTTATGTATCCGGGTTGAAGAAAACTTAATATCTTTGGGAGTGTTCAACTGAAAAGGCTTCAAGTACACCGGTGGGGGTTGAGTAATTCGGGTCACTAAGGGTGCATTAGTAGTGATGAAAGGAGTCAAGAGAGGTACCTTGTATGTGCTTGAAGGTAGCACGATTGTTGGATCAGCAGCACCAACTCTTAATCCTGTAGAGAATGAGTCAGATTTAACACGTTTGTGGCACATGAGGCTAGGATATGTTAGTGAGAAAGGCATGGTAATTCTCAGCAAGAAAGGACTTCTTGGAGGTCATAGAGTTGTTGAATTGGACTTCTGTGAGCATTGCATCTTTGGAAACCAAAGGAGAGTGAGTTTTTCAAAAAAGCTGTCCAT